TACCTTGTGGGAGCACCAGTTTAATTGAGCGCCAACTAGAGCAAAGAACGTGGCAAACACCAGGGATTCACTGATGTAATGTCGTATTAACACTACCCTTTTAAGAGGAAAGTGATGTTGACTCCGAGTTTAGTGGCTTTGAGATGGATGTGGCCACAAGTGGTCGAGGAAATATAAAAAACCTTGGTAATAACCCATGTGCAACATCCTTTCAATTTTGATACCACTGGTAGTGTCATCCTGCCAGAATGTCCTATAACCTATACCCTACGTGAAGAGAAACAATTCTGGAATGTGTAATACATGTTTGGCAGGCCGGGTGGCTGGCTGGCCGTGTGGCTGATTGACTTCGGCTGTCTCTATCTAACAGATACACATAAATAGTTATTATACATAGTGTAAATTGCCTAGGGTAACCCAAAAAAATCAAGCCGAAGTGCTATACTGTGTTTGTATATATAAGGCATAATAAGCATGACTGGCAAGTAATACACATTTTCACTTGTTCAGGAATCAGACATGACTCTGCATTGTTTGTAATACTTGTTGGTTCTGAGACAGAAAGAGACAAGCAGAGACAGGAAGACAAACACACAGACAGACAGATAAGCATAGACAGAGATAGAGATAGAGCTAGACAGATGGATAGAGATAGACAAATAGACACAGACAAACAGACAGACACAGACAAATAGACAGACAGATAGACATGTTTATATGTAACAGTGAAAACAAACAAACAGCCAAGGCAGTGCACGATCATCAAGTGTCACTTGTCAGCAGTGGAGTGACATTCATCTACACCGTGCTTCAAGGAGTCTCATATATACTCCAGCATGTCTAAAACATTGCTGGGACCTATAAATACTTTGTATATATTTCTAGACAATAGTAGGTGACCAAGGCAGGTGTAAATGTTCACCTGTCAGTGTGTTTGTGACTATTTGAGTACTGTTTCAGTACCTAATATTAGTGTCAGAACAAACATTGGCTATGAAATCACCAGAATTACTACAAATTGTAATTAACAGAACATAAAAATTACGTAAATTAAAAAAAAAGAGGAAAAAAGGTATATCAGCAACACTTCTGCAAGTGGCAGGACTCCATGTTGCTGTCAGGTGAGCAACAGGTGTCAATTTTGCAGCCTTATATCTCCGTAAGTACTCTTTTTTTTTTTTTTTTTTTACATTACTTTCTGTAAAAAAATGTCCTCTTCACTTCAAGGAGAATTTTTTTTTTTTTTTTTCAAATTACGTACAATGGACCCCCGACTTACGATGGCCTCAACCTATGATAAAACCGACTTATGATGCTTGTCAGTGTAAAAATTTGACCCCGACCTACATTGAAAAACTCGACTTACATCATTCGTCCTGAACGTGACCGTCTGGCCTGAGCACCTCAGCTGAGCTAGTATGACATTGTTTACAAGCCAGGGCAGACGGTTGCATGCATACATTCAGTAAATTTTGTATTATTCCAGTGTTTTTAGTGCTTGTAACTAAATAAGCCATCATGGGTTTATCGAGAATACCGAGAAACAATTAACCCCAGAGGGTTAGTCACCCAGGATAACCCAAGAAAGTCAGTGTGTCATCGAGGACTGTCTAACTTATTTCCATTGGAGTCCTTAATCTTGTCCCCCAGGATGCGACCCACACCAGTCGAATAACACCCAGGTGAACAGGAAAAAATGCCTGGAACTAGTGCTCATAATGGTGAATTTAAGGCCAGCAAAGGTTGGTTTGAGAGATTTAAGAATCGTAGTGGCATACACAGTGTGATAAGGCCTGTTCTGGAAGAAAATGCCAAACAGGACCTACATTACCCAGGAGGAAAAGGCACTACCAGGACACAGTGTGTCATCACTCATCACCACATCTTCAATAAAGGTAAGTGTCATTTATTCTTCATTTAGTACACTAGTATATGCACAATATATATTGAGCATATACTAGCATGTATCCTTTTTGTGTGTAGGAAAATGTATATTTCATGTAAAAAAAAAATTTTCATACTTTTGGGTGTCTTGAATGGATTAATTTGATTTCCATTATTTCTAATGGGGAAAATTAATTCGAGTTACAATAATTTCGTCTTACGTTGTGCTCTCTGGAACAGATTAATATCGTAAGTCGGGGGTCTACTGTATTCGGAGTGCTGGGTGAGAGAACGTAGATCTACGTTTGGACAGTTAAGGGGTTAAATTTGTTAAGTTATATAAATGAGGGTTAGAAATTTCATACATATAGGTGGACTGGTGCAAGTATGAGCAGTGGGGTTGTTGAAGAGGGTTGGAATAGTTTTAAAAATGCAGTATTAGAATGTGGGGCAGAAGTTTGTGGTTATAGGAGGGTGGGTGCAGGAGGAAAGAGGAGTGATTGGTGGAATGATGAAGTAAAGGTTGTGATAAAAGAGAAAAAGTTAGCTTATGAGAGGTTTTTACAAAGCAGAAGTGTTATAAGAAGAGTAGAATATATGGAGAGTAAAAGAAAGGTGAAGAGAGTGGTGAGAGAGTGCAAAAGGAGAGCAGATGATAGAGTGGGAGGGGCACTGTCAAGAAATTTTAATGAAAATAAGAAAAAATTTTGGAGTTAAGCAAATTAAGAAAGCCTAGACAACGAATGGATTTGTCAGTTAAAAACAGAGTAGGGGAGTTAGTAGATGGGGAGATGGAGGTTTTGGGTAGATGGCGAGAATATTTGGAGGAACTTTTAAATGTCGACGAAGAAAGGGAGGCGGTAATTTCATGCACTGAACAGGAAGGTATACCATCTTTTAGGAGTGAAGAAGAACAGGATGCGAGTGTGGGGGAGGTGTGTGAGGCATTACGTAGAATGAAAGGGGGTAAAGCAGCTGGAACTGATGGGATCATGACAGAAATGTTAAAAGCAGGGGGGGATATAGTGTTGGAGTGGTTGGTATTTTTGTTTAATAAATGTATGAAAAAGGGGAAGGTACCTAGAGATTGGTGGAGAGCATGTATAGTCCCTTTATATAAAGGGAAGGGGGACAAAAGAGATTGTCAAAATTATAGAGGAATAAGTTTATTGAGTATACCAGGAAAAGTGTACGGTAGGGTTATAATTGAAAGAATTAGAGGCAAGACAGAATGTAGGATTGCGGGTGAGCAAGGAGGTTTTAGAGTGGGTAGGGGATGTGTACATCAAGTGTTTAGATTGAAGCATATATGGGAACAGTATTTAGATAAAGGTAGGGAAGTTTTTATTGCATTTATGGATTTAGAAAAGGCATATGATAGAGTGGATAGCAGAGCAATGTGGCAGATGTTGCAAGCATATTGAATAGGAGTGAATGGAGACGAATGGTTTTTAATACTTGACGTGCTGTTGGAGTGTGAGCAAAGTAACATTTATGAAGGGGTTCAGGGAAACCGGCAGGCCGGACTTGAGTCCTAGAGATGGGAAGTACAGTGCCTGCACTCTGAAGGAGGGGTGTTAATGTTGCAGTTTAAAAACTGTAGTGTAAAGCACCCTTCTGGCAAGACAGTGATGGAGTGAATGATGGTGAAAGTTTTTCTTTTCGGGCCACCCTGCCTTGGTGGGAATCGGCCAGTGTGATAATAAAATAAATAATAAAATTACTAAATGCTGTAAAGAGTTTTTATGAGGATAGTGAGGCTCAGGTTAGGGTGTGTAGAAGAGAGGGAGACTACTTTCCGGTAAAAGTAGGACTTAGACAGGGATGTGTAATGTCACCATGGTTGTTAATATATTTATAGATTGGGTCGTAAAAGAAGTAAATGCTAGGGTGTTCGGGAGAGGGGTGGGATTAAATTATGGGTAATCAAATACAAAATGGGAATTGACACAGTTGCTTTTTGCTGATGATACTGTGCTTATGGGAGATTCTAAAGAAAAATTGCAAAGGTTAGTGGACGAGTTTGGGAGTATGTGTAAAGGAAGAAAGTTGAAAGTGAACATAGAAAAGAGTAAGGTGATGAGGGTATCAAATGATTTAGATAAAGAAAAATTGGATATCAAATTGGGGAGGAGGAGTATGGAAGAAGTGAATGTTTTCAGATACTTGGGAGTTGACGTGTCGGCAGATGGATTTATGAAGGATAAGATTAATCATAGAATTGATGAGGGAAAAAAGGTGAGTGGTGCGTTGAGATATATGTGGAAACAAAAAACATTATCTATGGAGGCAAAGAAGGGAATGTATGAAAGTATAGTAGAACCAACACTCTTACATGCGTGTGAAGCTTGGGTTGTGAATGCAGCAGCGAGGAGGCGGTTGGAGGCAGTGGAGATGTCCTGTCTAAGGGCAATGTGTGGTGTAAATATTATGCAGAAAATTTGGAGTGTGGAAATTAGGAGAAGGTGTGGAGTTAATAAAAGTATTAGTCAGAGGGCTGAAGAGGGGTTGTTGAGGTGGTTTGGTCATTTAGCGAGAATGGATCAAAGTAGAATGACATGGAGAGCATTTAAATCTGTAAGGGAAGGAAGGTGGGGTAGGGGTCGTCCTCGAAAAGGTTGGAAGGAAGGGGGTAAGGGAGGTTTTGTGGGCGAGGGGCTTGGACTTCCAGCAGGCGTACGTCAGCGTGTTCGATAGGAGTGAATGGAGACGAATGGTATTTGGGACCTGACGATCTGTTGGAGTGTGAGCAGGGTAATATTTAGTGAAGGGATTCAGGGAAACCAGTTATTTTTATATAGCCGGACTTGAGTCCTGGAAATGGGAAGTACTACAATGCCTGCGCTCTAAAGGAGGGGTTCGGGATATTGACAGTTTGGAGGGATATGTTGTGTATCTTTATACGTATATCCTTCTAAGCTGTTGTGTTCTGAGCACTTCTGCAAAAACAGTGATTATGAGTGAGTGAGGTGAAAGAGTTGAATGATGAAAGTATTTTGTTTTTGGGGATTTTCTTTCTTTTTGGGTCACCCTGCCTCGGTGACCCAATTTTTAACATTGATATATATTGAATATTACATTTAATTAAAATTGTTGACAATATTTTTTGTGCATAGGTATACCCAATACACAATGGAAACTCTGCGAGTTGGATGGGAGCAGCTGTTGACGTCCATTAACCGTACCATCAATGAAGTGGAGAACCAGATCCTCACTCGCGACTCTAAGGGCATTAGCCAGGAACAACTCAATGAATTCCGTTCGTCCTTCAACCACTTTGATAAGAACAGGCAAGTTTTTTTTTTGTACAATAATGGTAGTAGGCATAAATAACCAACACTCTTGCAGTTCTGTATTTTTAGCTGTGATAAAAAATTTCACTCATTGTTTGCTAAGATCTGTGCTCTCAAGGGGTCATACATTCTAGGCAGTGGTATTTATAATGTTGTTTCTGTGCTGCTTATTCAACCATCACAGCACTGGAATATGCTTGGGTTAACTACCAGTTTCATTTGAAGTGATGTCTATTTTATGTTAAGTGGGTATAAATATTCTTCCTACAAATTTGTAAGACGTAATACTATGACAATAATTTTCAAATAACTATTTACATTTGACTGGTCAGACAGGGCCGCAGTTAGTGGACAGAGGATCGAGAAATATGCTAAAATATATTAATAATGATTAATTTTTTAACAGAAAAGGGGCACATTAGGAAAAGAGCAGAGGTGAGGTAGTGTTTCAGAACGGAAGTTATTTCACAAGCAAAAAAATTACAATTGATTCAAAATGTGCATTTTAAGTGTTGAATAATAGCCACATGTAGAACTAATTAAAATAAACTGAATTCTTATAGAGTACAATAGACCATTGTTTAACACGGTAGTTACATTCCTGAAAACGCCGTGGTAGTTAAAACCATGTTAGACAAACTGAAGAACTTATGGGAAAAATAGGGTTACATTCCTGGGAGCCCCCAAAAAGCCAAACAACTTTTTTTTAGACCAACAGATATTACAAAAATAAAAGTGAATATGTAATTGTAGTTCATTGTTGTGATATATTATGTTTTTACTGTTTAAGACTACAAATGCAACAGAAATAATAGTATGTCTTACCTTAAATTGTGGGTCCTGGTGTTTGTCGATCATTGTGAAGAGAGTGGAGAGTTATGCTATGGCCCTACTGGGCTGAGGTGGATGGTAGATGTTCTGGAGTGTGCATAAATTCTATAATGGATTTCTCCACTATTTTACCCCACAGTACATTATACAGCTGACAATAAGGTATCAGCTGCAATAGACAATGTTTCAGAGCACTGCTTCTAGGTTTGTCAGGGTCCTCCTAAGTGAAAAAGTCTAACTATAAGTCAGTGAAGTCAGTTAGTAAATCAGTTAAGTCAGTAAATCAGCCAGGTAAGTCAGTCAGTCAAGCAGTAAGTCAGTAATTCAGTCAGTGAAGTCAGTAAATCTGTCAAGTCAGTTATTCATCACACAAACTCATATATACTTACCTCATTCTTTTTAATTGTAGAAACTGATGCTTCATTAAGGCCTCTTGTCTAATATCTCCATTTTCTTTGTTAACTCTCAAGACTTAAATGCTTATACTTTTTCTTGCCACTTTCAGGAACACTGGTATGCCTACTGCGTGCCATGATTGCTTGGCGGGTACAGGATATGGCAATTAAAATATCAAAGCACTATTCACAATGTTATTCCTATCTATTTCAGATAGGAAGTAATATTCTCTAATGGTACAGCAGAGCTCTCTGATAGGTCATTTAGGGAGAATGAGGACTTTTGTTACTGGTAGGCATTCCCTTGACTTGAGCAACAACACTTAAAAAATAAATCTACTCCACACTATAAGAAATTATATTTTATGTATAGGTTAACAAAGAAGAACGTATAAATCTGGGGTGGAAGGGAGAAAGGGGGCAGGGCCATCCCAGGAATGGTTGGAGGGAGGGGATACAAGAGGCTTTGAGTTTTAAGGGCTTTTATGTGTGTGTTAGATACAAGTGAATGGAGACAAATAATTTTTAATGGATAAGCTGTTAAAGTGTAAGCAGTGGAACTTTATGAAAGGATTCTATAAAAGTGGCTAACCGGATTTCAGTCCTGAAAGTGTAAAGGGAAGCACCTGCACTGTGAGAAGGGATGGGGATATTACAGTTTTGATCTATAGTACTAGCACCCCCCCTGGCAAGACAGTGATGGAGTGAGTGAAGGTGTTACTTAGTTTTTGGGTCACCCTACCCCAGTGGGAGACAGCCTGTGTATTAATTTTTTTTTATCTATGTATATCTATCTCTACGGGAAAGTGGAGAAGAATCCTTCTTTTATAAGTCATGTCATAAGAAGCAGCAAAAATGCCAAGAGCCAGGGGCTAGTAACACCTTCTCCTGTATAAATTACTAAATGTAAAAAAAAAAAAAAAAGTATTTCTTTTTTTTGGGTCACCCTGCCTTGGTGGGAGATGGCTGGTGTTTTAACCTGGTAGGCCTACATATGAGAGAATGGGTCTGCATGGTCATTGTGCACAGTATAAAAAAAATCCTGCAGCAAGCAGTGCATAATGAGAAAAAACTGACTGTGTTTTTGGTTTAAAACAGCGACTTGTGGTGTATTTTCGTATGGCATTTATGCTTGTATTCTCATTTTCTTGGTCTTATTTCATAGGATGGAAGACATGTTACAGAAATAGAGGTGATTTTAAATGGTTTATCAAGTAAAAGTACTTTGAAATTGAGCTCAAAATAACGGAAATGTTCGATTTTTGAAGATGTTCTAGAATAAACAAATCACGTCACGCATCCAATACATGTCAACTGGTTGGTCTAATATACACTCACAAATGCACTAGCATTATTTATGCAATTATTACAACTTATGCAGTAGTCTGAATAATAGTAAATCCTTTTTTTGTGTGAATAAAAATTCTTAATGAAAAGCAAGCATAATATAGAAGGGGCCAGGAGACATGACGAATGAATTTTCTCTGTTCATTAGTGCCAGGAATGTGTCCATTGTTTATTCTGGCCTCTGTTTTGAAATTGGCCTTTCTTGAATTTTGCGTGAAATTGGTCAAATTAGTAATTTCTGATCACTTTATTGCATAGTTGAAGTAGGTAAATTGGCAGTTTCTTGTATGCAATTGATAGAATAAAAGGAGTTCTAATGAAATAGCTATGAGTTTGGATGATTTGAACAATAGAATTGGTGCAATATAGGGCTCAAAATGGGCAAAATCACCATTGCGTAAATATCGCCGAAACCGCTAACTTCGCGAGAACGTAATTTAGTGAGTTTTTCATCAAATTTTGAACTTTTGGTTTCGTTACCTTCAGAAAAAGATTATCATTTCATAAGAAAAAAAAATTTTTTTTTTTTTTTTTTAATTTTTCGAGACTATGAGCAAGTTTGCGAGCAATGGTCTTGACATTCAGAGAATTAATACGTGTGTGCATGTGGGGGAAGTGTACTGTGCCTTCACTTTGAAGGAGGGGTGGGGATATCGCAGTTTGGAGAGTCATTTAACCCTTTGATTGTTTCGGTCGTATATATACGTCTTACGAGCCAATGTGTTTGACTTGTATATACTACTAAAAAATTCTAGAGTCTTCAAATCAAGCAGGAGAAAACTGGTAGGCCTACATGTGAGAGAATGGGTCTGTGTGGTCAGTGCACGCAGTATAAAAAAATTCTGCAGCAAGTAGTGCATAATGAGAAAAAAAAACTCCGACCGTGTTTTTGGATTAAAACGCTGACTTAAGAGGTGTATTTTCATGTAGTTTTTATGGTTAGTCTCGTTTTTGTAGTCACATTTGATAGAATGGAAAACATATCATAGAAATGGAGGTGATTTTGATTGGTTTTACTATGAAAAGGACCTTGAAATGGAGCTCAAAGTAGGGAAAATGTTTGATTTTGGCCGATGTTCAAGAGTAAACAAGTGACGTTATTGTCCAATAAATATCCGCTAGCCATTCTGATATGCAGTTATGAATGGGTTGACATTATTTATACAATTATTGCAATATTGCAGTAGTCTGCATAACAAATCTTCTATTTTTTGTTTGAATAAAAATTCAAAATAGAAAGCAAGAGTAATATCAGAGGGGCCTGGAGATGTGACTGATGAACAAAGAAAATGTTATTTTAGAGCCAGGAATGTCTGCATTGTTCATTCTGGACCGTATTTTGAAATTGGCATTTTTTTTAATTTGCATGAAGTTGGCCAAATTGCCAATTTCTGACCACTTTATTGGGTAGCTGAAATCGGTAAATGGACAGTTTCTTGTACTCAATCGATAGAACAAGTGGAGTTCTAAAGAAATAGCTATGAGTTGGGTCGATTGGAACAATGGAGGGAGAGTATGGAGGTGAATGTATTCAGATATTTGGGAGTGGACGTGTCAGCGGATGGGTCTATGAAAGATGAGGTGAATCATAGAATTGATGAGGGGAAAAGGGTGAGTGGTGCACTTAGGAGTCTGTGGAGACAAAGAGGGGAATGTATGAGAGTATAGTTTTACTAACGCTCTTATATGGGTGTGAAGCATGGGTGATGAATGTTGCAGCGAGGAGAAGGCTGGAGGAAGTGGAGATGTCATGTCTGAGGGCAATGTGTGGTGTGAATATAATGCAGAGAATTCGTAGTTCGGAAGTTAGGAGGAGGTGCGGGATTACCCAAACTGTTGTCCAGAGGGCTGAGGAAGAGTTGTTGAGGTGGTTCGGACATGTAGAGAGAATGGAGCGAAACAGAGTGACTTCAAGAGTGTATCAGTCTGTAGTGGAAGGAAGGCGGGGTAGGGGTCAGCCTAGGAATGGTTGGAGGGAGGGGGTAAAGGAGGTTTTGTGTGCAAGGGGCTTGGACTTCCAGCAGGCACGTGAGCGTGTTTGATAGGAGTGAATGGAGACAAATGGTTTTTAATACTTGACGTGCTGTTGGAGTGTGAGCAAAGTAACATTTGTGAAGGGGTTCAGGGAAACCGGCAGGCCGGACTTGAGTCCTGGAGATGGGAAGTACAGTGCCTGCACTCTGAAGGAGGGGTGTTAATGTTGCAGTTTAAAAACTGTAGTGTAAAGCACCCTTCTGGCAAGACAGTGATGGAGTGAATGATGGTGAAAGTTTTTCTTTTTCGGGCCACCCTGCCTTGGTGGGAATCGGCCAGTGTGATAATAAAAAAAAAAAATAATAATAAAAATATAATACTACTAATAATAATAATATAATATTATTATTACAACGATAGAGCTTCAGTTCCCTAAATTAATAATAATAAT